GATGCGCTTCACCGTCACTCCCAGCGGCCCAACCCGCTTCCCGTACTCATCGATGCTGTGACCTGTAGCACTGACTAGCAGTAGATGCTTACTTGACGAATTTTTTGAGGGAAGTTTTTTCATAAAAAGTTTCCTTCTAAAAACTCCCGTCTCGCACGCTTCCAGACGGAATAGGCCAAGATGCCCCTATGCTCGTCAATAGACAGGCTGACAAGGCAAGACAGACTGACGCTCAAGCTGACTGGGATTCCTCGCATACTCGTTCGAAGGATTCAATTCGTGGGAAAAAATTAAGGGGTACAGTCTCTGAGCAAAGTGTCTCTTTTCAGTGCCTCCCTGTCAGCGCATGTTAGAAAGCTTGGCAGCATAATAGCCATGCCAAGAAATCAGCTTATTCGATCGGTTTAATGGGAACTGTTTGTTTCTGGGCTATTGTGCACATTATTTTTAGTTTCCGTAGCGAAAAATTAGGGAACTTGGATCTTCTCGTTGGACCATTGATCTAGAGGATCGTGAGCTAACGATTTAGCTACGCTTCTGCTGCGTACATATTACATGTGGTCTATCATAACAAGCAAGGGGTCCCTCCTCCTCCTTTTTCGGTGTGGCCCATTCAACGGCAGCAGCCTTGATCTTTCCGTTAACTAATGGTAAGATGCAAGCAGAAACTGCAAACGAAGACCCCGAACTCATTTTGAAATCCCTTTACAAACTATACACAGCTAAGGTGTAAGCGCAGTATTCGATTCTTTCGTCGAATATGGGCAAAAACATTGTGTACTAAAATTGTTTTTTGGCACTGTTTTAAATAACAGCTGGGCGACGGGGGGGGGCATTTTGCACTTTCACTGCTTCACCTACTTTCGGGTAACAAGTCTCACTCTGGTGAACTCTTGTGAAGCTGGAGCAAGCTCGTCTAGCCACCATGGTAAAACGTGTCAACTCAAGAAAAGGCTATCTAGATGGGTCGACACATCAATGGGAAGCAAAAGCCCCCCCCCCCGAACTGAAACTTGCCGAACTGCGCCTAGCAATTCTTTTCAACATAGAGGAGATCTTATTTGGATGTCCATCAGCTGGTTCGATAACATCTTCCCGCCTACCGCTCGGAGAGGGAATTGCATTCATTCAGCAAAATGAAAAGAATTCCAGAGTCAAAATCTCAAGGCAGGTAAGGTTTGGCACTACTTGGTAACATAGCAGCTGTTGGGACGGATTTGTGGGAAAAGAACACGAGTTTGTACATTGTCTAAACTCGTAGTTATTAAAGTCGGGTGCGCATTCCATTACCACTATGACTCTGAGGCGAAGTTGAATGACCAACGCATCCCCAAGGATGCTATTGTTTACGCTGCGTCAAAGTGAGAGATGCGCCCAACCAGGCCAAATCGCTCTACGAGCTAAATTGTTTGCGCGTGTAACCACCATTCCCATTCGAGGCTTATGGGCTTACGGGGGAACAAGCTGGAAGACTCACCCTATCGATTCAACAATAGGCTGTGTAGAACTGCTGGAGAGGAATACATGACAGGCGAATCGTGGTAGCAACGGATGTTTCGTTATGAATCCAAAGTATCTAAAAGAACATTGTATTAAGCAAGACAATTACACTTGATGGACACCAATCAAACATACTTGAGCTGTTTCGGATGAGCTCCACAAAATGAAATATTTTGAAGGCTGTAGAAGAAGTCGAATGTCGGACATTGGAAGAACTGAAGCAAAATGAGTTAGAATAGGAGTTTTTCCGCGGAGGGAGACTCACGTTCTTCCTCCGTTTGTCGATGACATGAATCCCGCGAAATGAAACTTCCATGAGCACCGTTTGCGGTACGATAATTTCTTCGTGATTTTTGTACATTGACAACACCTAAATCCAGAAGGAATTTAGGGGAAAATGAGAGAGCACGTTTGCTATTGATTCTCTTCGGAACCTCCAAGCTCCTGCTACGATTTCGTTTTTTGATTATTATTACGCGATTTTTCATAGTGGAGAAAGTGTTCTCAAATCTATTGAGAGTGAGCGGAAAATGAACGATGGACATGCATCAAAACAAAATAGCAGCGCGGTTTGAAACTGGGCGCTAATGCAGTGAAGATAAGTATTTCGGGCCAAGCACCCAACTGTTTCTAAACATCCCAGACGATTCTTTGTGAACGTCCAGTGAAAGCCATTAGCCTAGCATAAGCATCGCAATCTGATCTATTGCAGAAAAAGACCTACTTTTATCGGATCAGGGTCAAAAATGACGCTCTAGCAAGAGCGGTAGCACGCTCTTCCGAAGTGGGTATTATTTGCTTTTGCTCTTCACTGTTCAAAAAAAACTGCCAAATTATGATCGCCTGTGGGTAGACTTGGCTGGAACTCTCCCCCATTCGTTTTGGCTTCTTGAACACGAATCTCGCACCCTCTGGCAAGAGTCGCCCAACGCTCAAGCTAGAGCCGGCACCGGAACTCTCCGAAACCTCAAAGTGGGAAAATACTCTGAAGCGCAGGCGTCTTTGACCTTCTAAAACATAAACAGCCACCGCCAGCTTGGACGTGGCAAAGTGCATAGATAAGTGCGGCGTATGAGCGGTCGACGCCAAAAACTTCCATGTTCAGTGAGGCACGTATAGGCAGCGGACACCACGTTTCTTGCATTTCAAGCGGATATCACATCCGTGTTTGGGGACAGATATCCTCGTACAATTTTTGGGCAAATATACCTTAGATGAAGAATTTGAAAATTTGGCCTGCATCTGAAGTTCGGAGCCGTAAGGGGACAACAGTGCCTTGAAGAAGTCTGTTCTTATACTAAGAATAACGCGCGAAACTTGAATACCTCTCCACATATAGTGCGCACGATGGCTTAGTCGTGCATATATTGTGAGTTGGATAAAAAGAACGCTAAGCGAGTCTATATGGAGAAATGCCCAGCAATGCTGATGCGCAGAAGTGATGTTTAATCGTCCTTAGCAAGTGCTGAGAATCCACCCGAGAGATTACCCTACCCTGACGTTTTTTTCTGGAAGGAGGGTCGTCAAACCAGCAACCAGAATGGAACACCCCAGGTAATGGGCTATCCGCACTTTCTTTGAATTTTTTTTCACGGGTAGGTTATCTACTACTAAACTTGCGATTGACAACGATTTTTTCACCGGACTCACTCATAAACACATGGCAGCGGCCCCGAGAGTTTTAGTGATGCATGCATAGCAGAAGTTTCAACAAATGAATTCCAATTATAAAATTGTTATACCTTGTTCATTGCTTGGACGAGAACGTCGTTACCCTTGTGATGGCCGACTTCGATTGATGCCAGCATTGTCAGATAAAATGTATCTCGCTCCGATTCCGTCACTTCTGGAAAATGCATTTCTCATAGTCGCACGAACAGCTCATGAAAACAAGAAGGTGGTAGGAAAACGAGGTTTTGTAGGCTGACTATTCCCTCAGAAAAGGTTGCCTATGTCTATTTTTTCTTCTAATTGCACATTTCATATTCAAGTAGACCACAAAAGGCTCTTGAAAACGGTGTTTGCAAATTCTGATAGGAAGGCAAACATCCTCGAAAGATTATGTGGGGAAACATGGATTCCAACGTATGGAGCAGTCCAGCTCCGTAAAGAAAGCGACTTTTTCTAAATGCGATAAGCGAGATTAGAAGTGGCGTTTTTTTCTGTGGAGCATACTCTAGAAAAAGCGATCAGATTACGATTCTCTTGCCCATCTCCCCGAGGACTACGAGAACTTGGCAAATTCGTTATGGCTTCGATTTGCCAGCAATCGAGGTTCAAACCGTAGAATACACAATGCCCGAATTTCAGTGTAACGTTGCACTCTCAAAATCCCAAAAACAACAAAGATGGCGTGGCCTGGAAAGTTTTGGATTACCTCACCTGATCTCATTCTCGTCAAGGATGAGAGTCACTCGTGATTTATGAATGAATTCACCCTACCGCGTCGCTATGCCTTAGTAAACATCGTATACGTCCCAGGGATTACGAAACACAGATACAAGAACCTCGTCTAGTGGCTATGCAGTGCGACTTTCACTGAAGAGCTTCAGTCAGTCTCATTGTTTTTTCGGTTGTTTTTTTTTTGAGGAGGTGGCGTAGCTGCTACTAATTCATAGTTCCGAACCCATATTCCCTTGATTCGGTGTGGCAGTTTTTTATGCGGGTGAGGAGTTGCACTTCTATTAATCGTGTTTCGATGTCTTTTAGGAGCCATAAAAATTGGAATTCACCTACATCAACAAGCTGCGCTGGAATTTATCTGAGAACCGAATTTAAAACAGTAAACCCGTTAGTTCGAAAGAGAAGAGCGTGAATCGTGAAGGCGCTAGGACATTAGCCAGCTTTGGTCGTTTCTAAGTGACGCACTGAAGCCTAAATTCTCCACAATACCGTAGCGGAGTCATTTTATAATGCGATGCGAGAATATGACGTGAGTAAATTAGATATGGAACATAAGAGCTAGGGATGGCTAGGAAACATATCATAGCTGGGAAAGGGGTTCCATCAACGGCAATCTCTCGCTTTTCTTGGACTTACGAGGGCATATGCTATTTTCCAATTCATCTAAGTTGCGAGCGTTTTGAAGAGAGCGATACGAAAAGGGAGAGAGAGGAGAGAGAGAGCATGCTACACACGATCTGAGAGAGGAGACGAGGAAGAAGGAGGGGAAAAGAGAGTTGAAGAAAAACTAATCATTAGGAGGTTCTGCGTTGAAGAATGTCTTGAAGACGAGCTTAGTTTGAGGGGAGAGGTTGTATGATTACAGGGCAGTTATTGGAGCGGGCCCACATAGTAACGTGTGCCTTGGCTAAAACCCTCAAATCATAGTTCTCTCTATATATCCGGGAACAACTTTTGACCGATGTGGGGGCCATATAAAAATATCTTTGTGTGAAGTATAAATGACTCTTAACTCGGAGATATTACTGATGTGTAATTGGATTGCTTTAATGATACTTAGCATATCAAATATCCTTAAGCGAAATTTCTTCTTGCCCGCACACGTCACAGAGCCTGCATATTGATATGAAAATTTTCATCACATTGAATTTGTTTCTTTCACTACTTCTCGTAAAGCCCTTTCTCAGTAAGCATTCAGTCGTATGGCCTCAATGAGCGTAAACTTGATGTCTGCCCTTGCACTGTGTTATCAACCTACTGCTTCCTGTTGATCATCGAGTAAGGCTTTGCTGCTGCACCAACAACGTCTGCATTTCGCCCCGACCAAAGTTACTTTTATATGTTACCCAATAGGTTTTCTGTGCTCGAGGGACTCGACAAACACCACTCCACTCGTTCAGAGCTTTCATGGAGAAATTTTACCAGCAGTTAGGAGGGCGTCCAGGTGTTTACCCGTCATGCTCTTCGTTCGCAGAGTCCATTCTGTCGTCGCTATGCTCGTAAACAGTGAGCGAATATGGGCTTGTTTCCAGTCGGTTAATGTGTCCTTGGTTTAATTGAGTCTTGAGCTTTAGCTCTGTTGTAGCCAGCGAGGGAAAAATAACAATGCACAGCCTTCAGAGAATTCTCTATTTGGCCGCATATTCATAACACCATAGATGAACAACATCGGACTGCTATAGGTAAACGTACCAGGAGTACGAAAAACTGACTTGAAGGTGTCGAAGGCAACAGCGCCCATGGCTAAATCTCCTCAGACGATGGATCGTATTTCATCATTTCTACACAGCTGAAGGGCAACTCCATTCCTGTCATTACCCTGTTCGCTCATATCACGGGTACGCTGCCAAAGTTAGAAGTTGCTTATGTAGGAATCGGAGCTTTGGCGAAAAGAATTCACAATAAACCAGTGTCCTCGCTAAAGTTCTTCCTGCCACGTGTACTGCATCTCTAATATCAGATGAACTTTCTCGGCTCAAGTGCACTGTTAAAATAAAGTTAATAAATGTTACTTTGATATGAACCTATTGTAGTTCGTTCGCTGCGCGAAAGCTTTTGGGCGTGCAAGCAGGTCGAAGTCGAAGTTCCGAACCAGTTACTATCAACAAGTTGTTGATCGGGATCCGCAAACTATTGGGTGGAAGAAATTGCGCATCGGAGGCTAGAGTATATAGGCTTACGGTACGGTGGGGAGGGGGGGGGGTAGCAGAGAATCAAAAGGGAGAGATCTGAATGACACAAGACAGGAGTCTCCGGACATCTTCTTCAAATGAACCAAAAGCGGAAGAAGTACGATAAGCACCTCCTGCCTTCCGATCTTTCGGTGAGCAGGACATTACCCGAGGGTCCTGGTCAGCCCGCTAGGGCTTCCTTACGTGAGGACTGAGAATTTGAATCCTTCCAGTATTGAGCAAGGCTATCCAAGGGAGGGACTAGAGGAAGCAAACTGGAATCATAAGGCGCTCACTGACCTTGGGATAAAAGCTGACTGAACTCTGTGCGTGGGATTGAGGCTGTCGGAAGTGGTACACGAGGAGACGCCGCTGGAGTCGTCTGGAGAGAAAAATGCTGAAAAAGTCAGAAACTTCCAGAAGAGAAATGCAGAATGAGAAGAAAAAATGATTTCCTACATTTTCTTGGCTTCACATGGGGATTGCCATTGAGTCCGTCTTCTTCATAATATGAGTCTTCGAAAGCACTCCGTCCCATCATTGAGTCTGTCATTCCTGGAAGAACCATTTTTCTCGGTGAACAAGATAATTTGACTAATCTAAACTGACCATCAATAAAACATAGTGTGTGATCCTGAGGTTTGGACACGTTTTGATGCGGTGGCATGGACATGGCTGGATAGCGCCCAACTAGAGAAATTGGCAAAAGAGGAAGTCGACGACCCGTCAACGAAGGAGGCGATGGATTCACTGAAATGCTCGTAGTGAGGCTGTGCCGCTGACGCTGTCATGAATCCATAAGCATCTTCGAAAACGCCTGTGATGAGCGTCTCTTCAACAATAAAAACAGATAGTACATAGAAGGAAAAAGCCGGAAAAGTACAACTCTAATGAGCAAGATAAACATGTGTAACGGCTAGATGTCAGATATTGAAGGGTAAGCATCAATCGAACAACCACGCTACATAGTTATTTCTAGTCAACTAAAGTTTTCTGAACTGAACGTGCCGGGATAGGGTAATGCGTTCGGTATCTCATGGTATGCGCCCGCCATGCCTTACACGTCATCTCGTGGTCATTTCAAACCCGACATGGTACATACTATGAATTGCATGGACTAGCCGATGAAGAATCGCTTTTTCGGCACTACTAACCATTTCCTGCCCCATTCATCCGGGCTCGAGTGATTTTTGACGGACTTTTGGACAGATTTGGCTCAAGTGTTGTATCTTGGAGTAGTTTCACCTCCTGAAAACGAATATCACATTTGCTTGGCCCGAAATCTCGTGACCCCCGCGAATTGGGGTATCTTGGTGCCAGCGATTGTGGCGCGAGCGCCAGGTTTTGTGCCGAGCGGACGTGATATTCGTGCTCAAAAAGGTCAAACTACCCATGGAACAAGTTTTCAGCGAATTTGGTGATTTCAGAGTATTTTGGCGCCGGTACCTGGTGGCTGCGAACGCTCCAGGAGGTTTTCGTTGTAGAGCGGATGTTGTAATTCATGTTGAGGAAGGTCAAACAACCACAGGCAGACAATTTTTAAGCCGATTCCGTTCCGGAGAAAAAAGACGTCGACGAAACGGCAGACTTCAGGTGTTGGGGCGAAGACGGTGAATTAGTGCCGGTTTTTTCTCTGAGATAGCATGTTTTTGATAACAAAAGCTGCAAGGGAAACGAATAAGGCTTCGCTGGCTTTCTGTGCGATCAGGATTTTTTGGAACTGAAAAAAAAATGAAAGGAATTGAAGATGATAAAGTTGGCGCTTTCCGAATGGCGCGGCAATCCATATCCACCTATTTTAAAGAATGTCACAACTAAATCCTGTTAAATGGTATTAAATCCACTTCGAACTGATTGAACTGGACTTTCACACCATAGTGACAGCATATTTCGTACCTTTTGATCAATATCAATTGCTGTGTTGAAATATCATTCAGCTATATATGGGAGGAGCGACATTTTGCATATTTCCTACTTCCCGTCGACGTGTCGACCCCGCTAGAGAGCCATCTGACGAGTTACAGCAGGTCTCTACCATGGTGGTAACGAAAAAGTGCAAGAAGGCCCCCCCCCCTTCCTATTTCCATTAATTTCATCGCTCCGAAACGAGCGTTCACACTTTCGCGACAGCAGCGTCGATCGCTGCGATCGCCGCGATCATTCGGTATGCGACCGAGAGCGCCCCAGTGCTATTACTTGGACAGCTCGGAATGCTAGGTTAAACCGGTTCCATGTCATGCTTTTTCTTTCAATTGCAATTGTTTCAGAACTAAAGGCTGTCTCAC